GGAGGCTCTATAAAATATTCAAGGACAGCTGGTGTATTGCTCACACTGTTATAACATTTGCACTTGACTTTGCAAAATTGTCCTTGTCTAGCTGTAATTGTGCAAAGCAATACACATGAAGCAGATCCTTTTCTAATATAAATCATCTTAAAGGAATTGAAGCTTTTGCTATACGTTATATACTGTAATATATATTATATATAGCAACATATATATCTTCTCTGTTTTGTGCTGCCTACCTAATATATTTCTCTACTGCTCAGAAAAGCCTTGCAGCTATCATATAATGTTGCTCATTTTAGAAAGATTGAGTTAATTTTCCCATCCAGTAGTTCAAAAAATATCATGCCGTAGAAACATTAAATCATGATGACGAACACATAGAAGATGTCATTTTAACTACAGGACAACATAGCAACATTATGTAATGGAGCACTGACATATACTGCTCACTGCTCATTGCCGTCTCCTCTATCCACCCCCTTTGCTCAGCTGGCTCCCATCTTCTGTACATCTCCCAACCCCTCCTCTTCACCACTGGCTGTCAAACTTTCAGCCACTTTGTCTTGAACTTCTGTAACTCCCTGCTTCAATCCTTCTGCCTTGCCCCTTCTTCACTATCTTCAGATTGCACCTGAAAACATTCCACTTCATCAGAACATAAGAAATGCTAGATGAAAAAGGACCAAGGTCCATCTAGTTCGCCTTCCACCTTCCTGGTGATCGCATCCACATATGTCCCGAACTACCTATGTATTATATCCCATAATGTTATTTCCTAAAAGAAAACCATCTAATCCGTGTGTTTGAAAGAATCAATACTTCCTGCTTCAACCACCTCCATCGGGAGCCTGTCCACAGATTCACTATTCGCTCACTAAAATAGTGTTTGCGTAGATTTGTTCTGAATTTACCCCCTTCAATCGCAGTCCGTGTCCTCTGGTTTTATTATTCTGGACAATTTGAAACTTCCTGTCATGATCTATATTATCTTGCCCCTTTAGAATATTAATGATAGCAGTCAAGTCACCTCTCAATCTTCTCTTTTCCAGTGTGAACATGCACAATTTACTTAGTCGCTCCTCATAGTCCAGTCCCTCCATTCCCTCAATCATTTTGGTTGCCCTCCTCTGTATTTTCTTGATTTCTCCAATACATTTTTTGTACTGCAGCATCCAGAACTGTACACACTACTCTAAGTTTGGTCTTACCAATGATTTATACGTACCTACATTCTTCAAACATGCCCACTTCTTTCTCCTTGTCTTAGCATCAACCCCCACCACTGTTAAATGATCCAAGATGCTACCCCAATGTGAAGAGTGCTCTATAAATCCAAGTTGTTATTATAGCATGACAGAGTGAAAGAATTCAGATTTGAATCCAATTTAATTTAATATCTGATACCATAAGAACCGCACCCAGCAGTAAAGTACCAGTTGAAAAGTCTACATCTACCTGCAGGGGAAAAGCAAGATCTAAGGGTGTGTTATCACAGGTTCACTTTGTATGCTTTCTATTTCCCAGAGAAATTGAAGTTCAAGAAATAAGATGCTCACCTTCTCAGGCAGCAGAAACACGACCTACAATTATGAATAAAAAATACTTTACTACATAAGGTACGAACCAACTTTAAAAACAGAATGATCTAAATGGGAACTAAATGAATATGTATGAGGGAATTATTGAACCTTCAGAAGTCAGAAAATTCTTAACTGGTATGCATTGTACATAAATTGAATTCAGACATTTTATAAAATTCTGCACAATCTTGAATTGAAAACAATGATTATATCACAAAGACCTTAAGCAATTTCAGTCCTCCAGTCCTTCTGTTGTCTTCAAGAGATTGTCTCCAATCTTTTGCTTCCTATTTCCACTCTCCATTCATTAACTACTTTTATGTGTCAGCCTGGCTCAGTAGGTAACACTCTCACCTATGAGTCAGAAAGTTGTGGGTTCAAGCCCAATGTTGGGATGGAACACACAATCTACGCTGACACTTCAATACAGTGCTGGGGTGAGTTGCATTGTTGGATTTTCTGTCATTCAGATGAGGTATTAAACTAATGTTCATTCTGCCTGAAAAATCTTCTGATATGGGAAGTATAATTAAATCAAACTTTTACTTTATAAAAGCTGTTGAGGGGAAGAACAATGTTTAGCACAAAGGAGGAAACCAAGTTTTTTGGAGGTAGCATTAGCAATGGAGAAAATGGGAACATTGCACAAATCAGAAGTCGCAAAAGTGGATCAAAGAGAGTTTGTTAATACTGATTGAGACCCCATGATTTAGACTTGCATCACACCTGAGCTCAGAATCACAATTTAGAATACTGCTATTTTCAGGTAATACTGAAATATTACTATGGATTGATTCTGTTTAACATCTACAATTATTCCAAAATGCAAGCTTTTGAAAATTATCTAAGTGTGTTAATCTTGTTATTTTTCGCCCATAAAATATAATCAATTAACTTTACAGTATATTCTGTGAAGCGCTTTGAGACGTCTTGAAGACGTGATAAGGCCCTATATCAAATGCAAGGATTATTATTACCCCGATCATTTCTCCATAATAATAATCCTTGCATTTGATATAGAACTTTATCACGTCATTGAGAGGTCTCAATGTGCTGCAAAGAATATACTGTAAAATATTGACTGTGTATTTTTTGAAG